CATAAGTAATGCATATATGCATATAAATTCTTTGGTTAATCTCTTTCTGCCTCCTCTCCCCTCTTCCCTCTGAGATTTGTCAGTCTGCTCCATGTTTCCATGCCTCTGTTTCTTTTCTTTCTTTTTTTTTTAATATATTTTTTATTGATTTTTTACAGAGAGGAAGGGAGAGAGATAGAGAGTTAGAAACATCGATGAGAGAGAAACATCGATCAGCTGCCTCCTGCACATCTCCCACTGGGGATATGCCCGCAACCAAGGTACATGCCCTTGACCGGAATCGAACCTGGGACCTTTCAGGTCTATCCACTGAGCCAAACCGGTTTTGGCCTCTGTTTCTATTTTATTATCAGTTTATTTTGTTCATTAGATTCTTTGTTTATTTTGATTTTTAGATTTAATTGTTTAGATATGTATTTATTGTTCATATTTTTAATCTTTTCTTATTTTTCTTCTTCTTACTAATTGCTTTTCTCTTGCTAATTTTAAGATTTTCTCTTTGTCTTTAACCTTTGGCATTTTAATTATGATGTGTCTTGGTGTGGGCCTCTTTGGGATCCTCTGTGCTTCCTGGACTTTCTTTCACCAGGTGGGGGAAGTTTTCTGTCATTATTTCTTCAAATAGGTTTTCAAGTTCTTGCTCTCTCTCTTCTCCTTCTGGCACTGCCATAATGTGAATGTTGGTATGCTTGAAGTTGTCCCAGAGGCTCCTTACACTATCTTCATATATTTGGATTCTTTTTCCTTTTTGCTCTTCGGATTGGGTATTTTTGCTTCCTCATCTTCCAAATCATTGATTTGATTCTCAGAATCCTCTACTTTACTGTTGAATTCTTGTATATTATTCTTTATTTCAGTTAGTGTCTGCTTAATTTCTGATTAGTCCTTTTTCATGTCTTTAACATTCTCACTAAGATCCTGGAAAGTCCACTAAGTCCCTTGAAGCTCTCAATAAGATCCTTAAACAACCTTATAACCATTGTTTTGAAGTCTATCTAGTAGTTTGCTTGCTTCCATTTCATTTAGTTGTGTGTTTTTTAAGATTTCTTCTGTTCTTTCATTTGTGACATGTTTCTTTGTGTCAGAATTTTGGCTGCTTCCCTGTGTTTGTTTCTATGTATTAGGTAGAGCTGCTATGTATCCTGGAATTGGTAAAGTGGCCTTGTATAGTAGGTGTCCTGTAGGGCCCAGTGGCTCAGCCTCCCCATTCACCTGAGCTGGGCACTCTAGGTGTGCTCCTGTGTGGGCTGTGTGCACACTCTTGTTGTAGTTGAGCCTTGATTGCTGTTGGCATCACTTGGAGTTGACCTCCAGGCCAATTGGCTGTGAGGACCAGCTGTGACTATAGTGGAAGAGCTGCGGTGTAGGAGACACCCCTATAGAGCAGAACTTGCTTCACTGGGGTTTTGATGCTCACTGAGTCTGCCCCTTGGGTGTGTCGCTTGTGAATGTGTAGAGTTGTAATCTGGTATGGTCTGAAGCTGTCCACTGGGTGCACTGGCTCTGGGGCCTCCCAGGAGGAACAAAATCAGCCACTGTCTGGGACCACCCAGCAGGAGCTATGAATGATCTGCAGATGGCTGCTACTTGTGTTGGGGTTGGAGGTGCCCAGGGGAGGCCAAGCCATCTTGGGCCTCTTATTGAGCGGTAGAGAGCACACTGACGCCAGCTGCTGCTGTTTGAAAGGTTTTAGGAAAGTCTGAAGCCTGAGCCAGGACAGGCCATTTATATGGAAAAGCCTCTGCAAACAGCTTGGGTGGGGCTGCAAATTGGATGGGACAGGGTTTCAGGGAATCACCAGGGTGGAGTGAACAGTGTGAGCCAGACTAATGGGAACTCAGATATGGCTGCTAGTTAGTTCTGTGTTGGGGGAAGTCTCAGCATAGGAACAATGACCCCTGCAAGCACCCCCATCTGTGAGAAAGCCACTCCTGAGTTCTTGCTCTGATGTCAGACAATCCAGTTCCTCCCCATATGTCCCTGGATCCCCCGGAGCCACTGCCCGAATGCTGGAGCTCAGAGAGAGTGAAACCATGTAAGTTCATGTGTGGATCCTTTAAGAGGAACTGCCTGGGTTTCCAGCAGCCTCCATGTCACTTAGCCACAATCCCCACTGGTTTTTAGAGCCCAAAGTTACTAGGACTTCTCTTCCCAGTTCTGGAACCCTGAGCTAAGGGTCTGGTGTGGGGCTGGACCCCTTGCTCCTTACAGGAGTCCTCCGCAGCCTAGATATCCCTCCTAATTGAAGAAAACAACACACTTAGGTGTTAGACCAGCCATTTCCACACCCCTGCCCCTCCTACCAGTCTCCATTTTTTCTTTACTTCTCTAGTTGTAGGACTTCCATTCAGCCAGCTTTCAGGTGGTTCTGAATGATGGTTGTTCTGTATTTTACTTGTAATTTTAATGTGGTTGTGGGAAGTGGCTAGTACTAGTGTTTTCGTATGCCACCATCTTGGTTCTCCCTAAAGCTTGATTTAATGTGACTTTAAATCTTAATTTACTTATTTCACTGGAATAAAACCTTATAAGAATACTTTGAGGTAAGTTCAGGAACAGTAAACTGAATCCTTGCATATCTGAGAATGTTATTTGCTCTCAAACTTGAATACCTTGGGCATTGATGTCTAGTTTCACATGCATTTTCTCAGAGAGTATTTTGAGGATCCCAGATGTGGTAACTGGTCTGGCTCCTGAATGTCTTGCACTTGTACCCAAAGGTGGAACTTGTCCTGCTGCTAATTGCTGCTAAAATCTGTGTTCCACCACCCCTTCATTGTTAAGGATTCCTTTATAAAAGTGTCTTGCTTAAGAAAGCCCTCTCTATGCTAAGGAAAAAATGTATTTTACATTTCCTTCTAATATACTTTAACTATTTATGCTACCTGGAACTTATTTTTGCAAGTGGTGGAGAGATTGAAATTTCTTGTTCTCAAAATGCATGGCTGACTCATAACCATTTTCTCTACTGTATTGAGATGTAAAATTTATCATTTACTGAACTCCCATGTAGTCTTGATGTTACACTGACTTGTCAATGAAAATTCCTCAAGTCAATTAGAAAAAAAAAAGCAAGTTGCAGAATCACATGTGAAGTATCATGCCATTTATATCCAACAAAGCAAAACAAAATCCACATATACTCTTACTTATTTGAATACACAACTGATATAGGAAAACCCCAGGCAGAGTCTCTACTTTTCCCTAGGTACTTTGTTGTTCCATTGACTAGTAATCTTTGCTACCAAAACTTTATGTGGTTGCCCAATGCCTCATGTTTACCTATTTTAGGTCTACCTACATAGAAAAGACGAACTCAGCTCTGATTCCAAGTACCTATGAAAAGGGTACTGACAGTTCAGCTTGGGTGCGGTGTCCCTTTTGGCCTATCAACCACAGGGATAGGCAGATAACATGTATAAATTGACCAGAGGGGATTATCTCCACTTTACCCTTCAGAAAGATGAGGTTTAATTAAGTAACTTCTCCATGGCCACATAACTTAAGAAACGGTAGGAGCTGAGATTTTGAATATAGGCCTGTTAAACTTCAAAGCTCATAGGTCTATTAAACTTCAGGGCCCTTGTTATAGATATTAACCCACTGTATGCCATAAGCATCTGTAATTGCAAGCAGTGGACCTTCCCCATACGCCACGCGCATCTATAAAAATAAAAAAATGTTTTCCCTAAGTGGCAGCTCTGACCAACTTTAAAATCACTTTTCATGAGAATTTTCAGCTGAAAATATTAAAGAACACCCAAATTGTAATATATTTATTTCTATAATATTCGTTGCAAATTAATTTTTTAATTAAATTCAAAGTATCAGTGTGTGGGGATGGTTTCTGTTTTGGACGTGTGGCAGTTAACTGGTTAAAAAGCTCAGTGCATAAGCCAACTTGAAGTTTATTTCAAAATGGCATATTTTGTGCCACTTGTACAAAGTATGAAAAGAACAAACTAAAGAATTAAGGTAAAAATTGCCTGGCCAGTGCAGCGCAGTTGGTTGAGCATCATTCCACACACTAAGAGGTCACTGGTTCGATTTCCGGTCAGGGCACATACCCGGGTTGCAGGTTCTATTCCCAGAAGGGGGTATGCAAGAGGCAGCCAATTGATCTCATCGATTTTCTATCTCTCTCTCTCCCTTCCTCTATCTCTAAAAATCAATAAAAATTTTAAAATAATAATTATGGTAAATTTAAGGTACAATTTTAGAGTAGATTATTTTCAAAAGAAAATAACCATTAAGCACATACTTTTAAGTATTGAAAACCTCAAGTCAAATCCCACTATAATTTATTTCCAAAGGTGAGGTTTGAATTTATTCACTGTGGTTAAACTACATTTCATATTTGTTGAAATAAATGGCACTGAAACATCATTATGTAGCTATGTTAATTTATTGTTTACATATTAGGCAGTTTAAAAAAGAATAAAAATCCTGCTCTCTAGAACAGAAGACAATGGAAGGTACTGTTTTTCAACCACATTCATATTAGTTTTAAAATGATTTAAGCTCTTACAATGGCCAATTACTGATTTGAAAACATGGACCTGGTAGAGGATAAATGCTATTTAAATATCAGTTCAAAGACATAAACAATTTTATTATGGTATTTATGTGTGTGGGAAGAAGAGAACTGTTTACTGTATATAACTATCATGTTTCAGGGGACATTATTTAACAGTTAAGTTTTTATATTACAAAACAAGTTTAAGTATTAGTTATTTTAGAAATACCACTGAAAATAGAATGACATTAATTATACTAAAAGAACATAGTAAACTAGTTGACAAACTTTAGCTACCTTAGAGAAAATCTTAATCTGTTGAGATAGACAATATAGGATCTAGCTTTCTGACAAGCAGAAGGCAACATCTATTATGTGAATATTATAAAAGAGTTTACTGCCATGAATACTTAGGTAACCTGGCCAACTCCTGAACTAAGACATATGAAGCCACAACAAACACACACCCAGGAATAATAAAATCCTTATTTCTTATCATAGCTTTATTTCTCTTCTGTTGTTTCAGTCTCCAAATACATCCGGCACAGTGCTGCATTAGGGCGGCATATAAAAGCATCAGTTTCATCCCCCAACTCTGTTAACTGTTCCAATGAAGACACACAAGGATAATGGTCTTTTAACATATCGGGCAACTTAGAAGTCTTGTCTTGAAGTCGCTGAGAACGTCTAACTGGTGTTAGAAACTTGAGCTCTTTAAATGCAGAATTAATTTCGTCAAACTGCATTTTCTTTTTTACACTAAAACAAACAAACAAAAACCCACAAAATTATTCCCAGAGTTAAAAAACATGTTAACATTTTTACTTTGTACTTTGATGCTATTTATCATACCATAACTTGTGTTATAACCATGTGATTGATTGTCTTACAGAGAGGTACCGTGAGCTTCTTGAAATAAGGAATTTATTCTTCTCTCAATTTTTATTATAACTTGTACACAGGAGATACTTGAATATCTGTAGAATTGGCTAATTGTTGAGTTCCAAATCCTATTATTATCAACAATCAGCAATTAAGATGATGTAAAAATTTTGTTTCAAAATGACAATATTTAGGGAAAAGCAAGCAAATGCAGTATTTAAATGGTCATGTCCCAATGATATTCGATTTGTTTAAAACCATTTTGTTAACAAATAGTTCTAAATGGAAGCTAGCTCAAAGATTTTAAAATACCATATTTATTATCCCTAAGCATAAAAACAAATCAGCACATTACATTTAAAAAGCTTACCTTTGCAAGTATGGTGTAGTAGACACATTATATTTAATTAAGCAACCCTCCCTAGTTTCTTTGTTGGGGGTTTTAACATCATTGGTTGGATCTTTTGTTTTGTGTACTTGCTCTTTTTTACAATCTTGAAATACTACATTTCTATGTTTATTTTCCATTTCAGGTTTTCCTGACTCTCGATTAACACCAATATCTTCGATGTTGACTTCTTGGATTTTTTCCTTCGTTGCACAAGCCTCCTCAAGATTTTCTCCTATAGAAATAAATTTATAAGTTATGCTTTTGGTCAAATTTAAGAACAAAACCAGAAAACATTAAATTTATTCATAGGAGCCAAATTTTCAAAATAAAAGAACCAAGCCATCTCCTAACCATTACTTTTCCTGAACAAATATTGCTGACAACTATCTATCTATATACATATTTTTATATATTTTTTAATCCTCCCTGAGGATGTTTTTCCATTGATCTTTAGAGAGAGTGGAAGTGATGAGGAGAGAGAGAAACATTGATGTGAGAGACATATCGATTGGCTGCCTCCCACACCCTGACCTGGATCGAGTCTGCAACTGCGGTACATGCTCTTGAGCAGGGAATCGAGCCCGGGACTCTTCAGTCCATGTTGGGGGGAGGTGGGAGTGGGGATGGGGGTGTCGATGCTCTATCCACTGAGTGAAACTGGCTACGGCTATTTAACAATATTTACCAACACTTGTGTGTCAGAGATTATAGATACAAATGTAAGAACGAAATCATCTCTGTCCTTTAAGAAGTTCACATTCCGTCCTGGCTGGTGTGGCTCAGCTGGTTGGGGGTTGTCCTGTGCCTCAAAAAGTTGCCGGTTTGATTCATGGTCAGTGCACATACCCGGGCTGTGGGCTCAATCCCCAGTAGGGGATGTGCAGGACACAGCCAATGGATGTTTCGCTCTCACATCAATGTTTCTCTCTCTCTAAAAATCAATACAAAATCTTAAAGTTCATATTCCATGGAAGGGACATGCTTGAAAATAATTATAAAACAAGAAAATGGCTATAATTGAGATAAGAACCATAAAAAATAACTAACTTTGTTTGTAGGACAGAAAGATGGCTAGGGAAGGTGTCATGAGTAACATTTATGCTGGGTCTTGAAAAATAAGTACTTGACAAGACCAAGGAAGACAATTTTGGTATGAAGGTTTTTTGGTTTTGTTTTTTAAAAAAAGATCTAGTAAGACAACACTAAAGGGCCAGTGTGCTTAGAATATAAAGGAATATAAAGGTCAGTGGGGAGGAGGTGATGAATTCAGATAAAGAGAAAGGGTCTAGACCAGCAGTTCTCAACCTGTGGGTCGCGACTCCTTTGGCGGTCGAACGACCCTTTCACAGGGGTCACCTAAGACCATCCTGCATATCAGATATTTACTTTACAATTCATAACAGTAGCAACATTACAGTTATGAAGTAGCAACGAAAATAATTTTATGGTTGGGTCACAACATGAGGAACTGTATTTAAAGGGCCAGAAGGTTGAGAACCACTGGTGTGGATTATAATGAACTTTATGTGCAAGAAGTTTGATAATAAAAAAAAATTCACGAGAGACAGAGATACAGTTAGATTTGGTGACAATACAGGATGGTTTAGAATGGCAGGAAATGAAAACTAATAATGTGTGATGGTAAGACAAAGCTGTTTTAATAGTCTAAGCAAGGTGGCAGAGGTAGGCAATGAGAAGGAAGAGCCTAAGTTAAAAGTGTTTTTTTCAGTTAGGAGTTAATAAGTGTATGTATTAGGGGCATCCCTTCAAAAATTTCTTCCTTTGGAGTCTTTAATGACAGAATAATTTTTTCTTTCTTTTATTTTTTGGGAGGAAGAGATGGTGTTATGGCGAAGCAGTAGAGAAAGACAAAGTTTAAAATACAACATGTCAGCTTTGAAATACTTGTGAGACATCTGGTAAATCCATCAAGCTGAGAAGACCTCTAGATTGATTGATAAGAAATTATTAGAGATTTTTACTAAGAGATGTTTTAGTTACATGATAAACGGAATGTTTGTTTTTTTGTGTGTTTCTTTTTTTGGTTAATCCTCACCAGAGAATATTTTTCCACTGATTTTTAGAGAGAGTGTGAGAGGGAGAGACAGAGAGAAATACTGATATGAGAGAGACACATTGATTGGTTGCCTCCTGCATGCACCCCAACCAGAGCTAGGGAATCTGTAACCAAGGTGCCCTTGACTGGAACTGAGTCAGTGGGCTGAGTCATACCGGCCAGGGCTGAATGTGTTTGTTTCTTTAGTGAAAAGATGTTGAAATGGGGAGAGGAATTATGAATTCTTTAATTCAACAAATATTTAAGTGCCTTAACATATGCTAGACACTGCATTAGCACTGGAGTACAATGGTGAGAAAGATCAGACACAGTCCTTGTCCATCAAGTTTACAGTTTAAAAGACAAGACAAACAATCAAGTGCATTAATTATTGCAGAGAAAAAACTGGGAGCACAAAACAGGTGCTTCTAATCTAGCTGGGTGGGGGAGAATAGGTGGCTATCAGGGAAGGCTACCCCAAAGAATGACATTTGAGTTGAGGTCTAAAGGATAAAGAGGAATTAGATTAAAAGTAGAACACTGGCTTGGATAGACCAGAGAAAAAATCGGTAATATAGTCCTTTCTAGAAAATAAAAAAAGAAAGAAATTTAGAGATGTGAAGGAGTGGGAGTGACAAGAGGCTGGAGTCAGGAATTTACCCAGAGAAGTGACAGGGCATTTTGATTACAGCATTGAGAATGGATTAGAGTAAGAGTAGAGAAGTAGGCAAGGTAGGAGACTACTGTTGTAGTCCAGGTAAGAGCTGTAGGTGATCTTGAATACAGTAATAAGAGTAAGGATGAAGAGAAATAGATGCATTTTAAGAGATGCTTACAAAGTTTAATTGAATTTGATTGGCTGAGGAACAGGGGTGGGGGTGTGAGAATGAGGCAGTAAAATATAATCCCAAGACTTCTGATGTAGAGAACTGGGCAGTGTTAGTTATTGAGAAAGGGAACCAAAAGAAAGAAGGTTTAGAGAAAAATGATGTTTTCAAGTGTGGAAATGTGGGCTTGAGGTATCTGAGAGACTCAAGTGGTGCTCGTCTCTCTTACTATTTGTCTTCTATTTCCCAATGCTACTTACAAGTAATCTTAATTTGTAAAACTGATTTTATATCTAGTAATTACATATCTCAGAAAGCCAAGTGTTTATTGATAGCATTGCTTTTTCCATGTAAAGACAAATATTCTACCTGCTAGAAAACATTCCACAGGAAAGATAGAAAACTGAATTCGATTAAAATACCATTTTCTCTTTCTATAGATCTCTAAAGCCAGTGAGAATTATGAGAAAGGCTTTTTTCTCTTAAAAAAAAATGTTTTTATTGATTTTTGAGAGAGAGTAAAGGAGAGAAAAAAACACATGGATGTGTTAAGAGAAACATCAATTGGCTGCCTCCTACATGTTCCCTACTGGGGATTGAGCCCACATGCGCTGGCTCTGACTGGGAATTGAACTGGTAACCTCTTGGTGCATGGGACCATGTTCAATCAATTGAGCCACACCTGCCAGGGCCGAAGCTTTTAAAATGAAATATTTATTTCCACTTTGCTGTCTTTAGTGTGTAAGACTCAGGATTAAGTTGTTCTTTTTATTAATTTTTAAAAACAAAAGTATAATCCTATATAATAAAATCCTAATATGCAAATCGACCCAACGGCGGAACGACCGGTTCTATGACACACACTGACCACCAGGGGGCAGACACTCAGTGCAGGAGCTGCCCCCTGGTGGTCAGTGTGCTCCCACCGGGCTCACGGCTGGTAAGCGCAGCAGCAGTGGCGGGAGCCTCTCCTGTCTCCGTGGCAGTGTGGGGAGTGGGCCTAAGCTGTCAGGCGGACATCCCCCGAGGGGTCCTGGACTGTAAGAGGGTGCAGACAGGGCTGAGGGGGCCCCTCCCCAACCCCCCCAGAGTGCACGAATGTAGTGCACTGGGCCTTCTAGTTGAAATATAACATTATATTAGTTTCAGGTATATAGCAGTATACTGATTCAGTATTTGTAAAACTGTGAAATGATTACCACAATAAGTCTATTTTTTTCTTTTGATGAGGACTTTTAAGATCTATTCTCTTAGCAACTTTCAAGTATACAATATAGTATTATTAACTATAGTCACCATGCTGTGCATTACATCCCCATGGCTTATTTATTTTATAATAGAGGTTTATACCTTTGGATCCCCTTCAACCATTTTGCCAGGTTGGGTTATTCTTAAACTTTTCTCCTCCTTTTGTTTATGGTATAGTAGACTTTCCTGGTTTTTCCTCCTGTTTCCCTGACCATTCCTTCTCAAGTTTCATCATTAAATATAGCTAGTACCATTAGAAAAAATATATCTTCTGTATGTTCTCCTAGGGGCATATTAACAGCAACCATCAATTTAAATATTTGCTGTTGAACTAAACATACTGCCAGTAAAAGAGGACCCCCTCACATGTAGATATTAACCATTAAGCCATACACATATTAACACTACTGAACAGATTTTTGGTAACATGTAACCAAAACGTGTATAACACGTTTAGAATTTCAGTATAATTTTAAATTTTACTTAAAGTTTAGCCCATGACCTAGATCTCTATATTTTAAATTCATTTTGTGTACTGAAAATAAGGATACTTGTAACTAATTTGGAAAGCAATTTAGCAGCAGTCATCAGGAGCCTTAAAAAGGTCAAACTGACACTTTTTAAAATTAATAAAAAATAAAATTAGTGAAAAAAAACAGATACAAACAACAATGATATATAATAGGTGCTCAAATATTTGTGATTAGCTGATACAGAGAGGTATACTAAAAAATTGGAAATAACTGTTAAAAAAAGAAACAAATTAGCTTATACTTATATGTAGTGATTTCTCCTCTCATCTAAAATCCCATATAATAAAAGGGTAATATGCAAATTGACCCTAATAGCAGAACCACTGGGAATGACTGGTCACTATGACACACACTGACCACCAGGAGGCAGACGCTCAATGCAGGAGCTGCCCCCTGGTGGTCAGTGTGCTCCCACAGGGGGAGCTCTGCTCAGCCACAAGCCAGGCTGCCAGCTGCCAGCACAGCGGTGGTGGCGGGAGCCTCTCCCGCCTCCTCAGCAGCGCTAAGGATGTCCGACTGCAGTTTAGGCCTGCTCCCCGCTGGCAAGTGGACATCCCCCGAGGGCTCCCAGGCTGCTAGAGGGATGTCTGACTGCCAGCTTAGGCCCGATCCCCTGGGGAGCGGGCCTAAGCCAGCAGGTGGACATTCCCCAAGGGGTCCCAGACTGCGAGAGGGTATAGGCCTGGTTGAGGAACCCCCCTGAGTGTACAAATTTTTGTGCACCGGGCCTCTAGTAGTTAATATTACCCATGGTTAAAGTTTAATGAACTTACTATGTGCCTAGGAATTTGAATCTTATATACAGGTATGGGCAAAAGTAGGTTTACAGTTGTAATACAAATAAGTAATAATAATACAATAAACTGTTTCACATACTCATAACTTTAAACCTACTTTTGTCCAATGCTGTACATTATTTCATTTAATGGTCCTAAGAATCTTAAGAAAGATCTTAACATTATCCTATTTTACAGAAAAGGGGTTAAATTTCTTGTAAAAGTTCATAGTAACTAACACAAACCTATATCTGAATCTAGAAGATATTTACATTTTAAATACCTGATCACTAATGAATCTCTTATCGCCTCTCAATCTATTCCTAGCAAAGAGAATTTCTAAATGAGTGTCTCTCTAGCATAGAACATATGATCGATTTTATTATTATTTTTGTTAATCCTCACCCCAAGGATATTTTTTTCCATTGACTTTTAGAGAGTGGAAAGGAGGGGGGAAGAGGAGGGGAAGAGAGAGAGAGAAGAGGGAGGGAGAGACAGAGAGAGAGATCAATGTGACATCAATTGTTTGCCTCCTGCACCTGCCCCAACCTGGCTGGGCATCAAACCTGCAACCAGATATGTGCCCTTGACCAGAAATGGAACCCAGGACACAAACTGATGCTCTAACAACTAAGCCATGCAGGCCAGGGCTATGGTAGAATTTAATAAGCAAAAAGTTTTTAGAGGTCTAGTCAAACTGCCTCAATCTTAAGACAGGAAATTAAGTTCTACAGAGGTAAGGTAACTTTCACAGACACTCAATGACAAATTTGGGTTTTGAATGAGACCTCCTAATTAAAAATTCTTACTACAGAAAGCTATTGAATCTCAGAGGTACATCAACAGATGTATGAGAAAAGATTAACCTATATATTAAAAAAATTAAAAATGATAAAAGAAAACGAATTCAGCAAAGAAATTTAATAAAGTCACAATCTACTTGAAGGAAACAAAATGAAACTAACTTACCAAATTTAACTTTTTCTTGACTCTTCATTGTTAGAATATCTGCAATTGCATGTCGCATTTCTTCAATAGGCTTGATTTTTTTTAAATGAAGAGAGCAGACACATGTAAGTTTATATTCTCACACACTACATTGTCCAAGTTTAAAATATTAAATCCAGTGATTAAATTTTATATTATAAAACAAGGCAGTGGTTCTTAGACCACTTATTTTGCCACTCAAATTGAAAAAATACCTGTCTTTTCCAATTTATAAAATAAAAATAAACTTAAGGAATGAGATTTCATCAATTTAAAATTTCCCCCCATAATTTTTCTTAAGGCTTTGGTAACTATTACCGCTTGCCTGATATGAACATTATTAGTAAACAAGTAGCAAATTAATATTATTAATATCTATTAAAGAGCTGATTACATTTAAGTTTACATTAACCTTTAAGTTTATTCCTTGTCTCCTCATTCAAGTACATAGTTATATTTTTGTGTTTCACATGGTATTAAATGTGTCTTTGAACAGCTCAAGATTAAAAAATTCAACAGTTCACTAAGTGTCCTTTATATGCCAGATATTATGCGCACTTTCCATGCACCATGTCTGGGGGGTGCGGGAAGAGACTGGACAAAAATTGTACACCTATGGACGAGGACGATGTGTGTGTGGGGGGAGGGTAAGGGCAGGGGGTGGGGTGGGAACCGGGTGGAGGGGAGCTAT